CATAGCATAGGCATCCTTCAGTCTCGAGAGACTATGGTAACATGCTCTGAATCGAGGAGTGTCCTCTCCAGAGCATGAAGCCCGGGTAAGGTAATATGGAGGATAGGCTGTTACCCAAGCAGCAGATCCCCCCTCTCCACATTGCTGAAATGGTCCAATGGAAAGGCAAGAGCCAATACAACTGGTTCCAGCAATGTCGCAGGAGTTGGCAGAACGACACATGCTGCCTTCGGGACTCCAGCTCCGGATTTTGCCTCGAGGTTAACTCCTGAAGCCTTTTCCATGAGTGGATATAGCCACAAGGCAGTGGAGGTTTGAAATCGGAGTTTTCCTTCTCCTAGATGGGCTGCCTTCCATGGCTGACGAGCCCCACCTACATATATTTCACAAATGTAAGTGCTTTTAAAAGAAACCGTTCTTTTGGAGTGAACTAAATCCCTTAGCAGTTGGAAAGCATGCAAATGCAAGTAGGCAAATAGGTGCCACTTTGGTGGGAAGGTAAAGACATTCTGTGTCTCGTCGTGCTGGATGCCTTGCTGAGTTTTTTTTTCCTGGGCTTTCTTTTTGTCTCCTGACCACATGGCCTGGGGGTGGGGCCTAGGGGTGGGACTTCCTGCTTTAAAAGAGCATGTCCCTAACGGCGCGCAAACTTCTCAAATTGTATCTCTGGCCTTAATATGGTAAATAGGAAAGCCAATTAGATGTGCATAAGCCTGGGAGTCAGGAAGGTTTTACAGATCAGATCAAAAATAATTAGATGAACTTGTGGGATTCATCATTTTTAAGGAGAAAGGCAAGATGAAAATATTTTAAATGAATAAATTTGAATAATAGTACTAATAACTTACGCATGAAAAGCAGTCTTGTGTATGTGCCTTATGGAGTTACTTTACAAACTGCTGTATCTTCATTAATTGTTATCCGTTTTAAGGGAGAAATAGTGAAGGAAGATAGCAACAATACAATGAACAAGGAAATCATGCTATCATTTTTCCTTATCCCAAAAAAAGGAGCGACTAGTTTTTATAATTTGTTCATTATTCTAGTTGTTTCAAACCATTTCCACTATTGCTCAATCTAGTGAAAATTATTTTCTAACTAGCTTTAGAAAATGAGGTTGAATATTTGCCCCAGTTGGTGAGGTGGTGTTAACCAGAGATCACTTGAGGCTATTCACTGTGCAATTAATTTGAAGATGTATTCACTGCGGTGAAATGAGAAATAAAACTTGTTAAAACTTGTGCACAATGAACAAAAAATCAGAGACAAATCAATGGATTTCAGTCGAAGTACGGAACATTGATTAAGTGAAAAATGTTGTATAGAACAACTTGGATTAAATTTTCAAAATAAATTTTCTTATCTTATTAAATTCTTGGGAAAAGGACTGTTTTAATATGATAGGGATTGACTGAAATAAAAATAGGATTTTTGGCAAGACGTTCATTTTGATCGTCACAATCCTTCCCAGCAACGATAATTGTAATTTATCCCATTTCTCCAAATTGTTCTGTATCTCCTTCATCAATTTCATATAATTATCTTTAAATAATGTGCTCTTCCTCTTTGTAATTTGTATCCCTAGATACCGAATTCTCTTTTCCTCTTGGAAGTTTGTCTTCTCTATTAGCTTTTGCCATTCTTGTTCTCTTATATTTTTAATAAGTAGTTTTGTTTTCTGTTGGTTTATTCTCATTCCTGCCATGTCACCAAAGTTTTTTAACATTGCCATCAAGTCTTCTATTGACTGCACTGGATCTTCTAGCATAATGACTAAGTCGTCCACAAAAGCCTGAAGTTTATAGATTTGGTCTTTTACTTTCAATCCTTTCAATTTCTTTCTTTCTCTGATTTGTTCATTTAGTATTTCTAGAGTCAAGATAAATAATAGTGGAGAGAAAAGCTAGTTTTTTTTTTACCCTCTTTAAAGAAAACCTATCTTTTGACTTTGTCTTGTGTGTGCCCTACAGCTTACACACACACACACACAGACACACACACACACAGACACACACACACACAGAGAGAGAGAGAGAGAGAGAGAGAGAGAGAGAGAGATGCAACAATATATCTACGTTGGAACACTGTTTTTGGTATCCCTGTGTAACAATCACAATTTATCTTGTTTGAAAGGCCTTTTTTTGAGGATCTGTATTTCAGCCTCTCCAGCCTAGATTCTTTCCAAATTAAAAAAGTGACTGCGGTCAACTATCCTCTTTCAAAATAAGCAAAATTGGTCTTTTCAATTTATTTGATCTGTTTAAAACTGGGGACATTATAGGGTTGTTTGTTCCTATATGGGGGCAGCTTTTAAAAACTTGAAAACTCAAAAGCCTTTCCCCCAAACTCTTCAGATTTGGCATGGGCAAGAGCAGAACGTCTACTATATCTATGCCAAATTTACTGTCAAAAGTTGAGTTTCAAAGTTATAATTTTTGGTTTGGGCTGCCTCCATTTTTAGAATTGCCTCGCAGAATGTTGCATTTGCTCTGCTGCACAATAATCACTGCACGCTTGTGTTGTTATAATATTACCTATAGAAACATATGGCTTTGTGTACGAGTTGCTGGGGCATACAAGCAGAAGAACATTATTGCCTTTGTGTCAAGCTTGTAGGCTTCCCATGGGTGTATGGTAGCACTGTGAGAACAGAATCTTAGTTTCGACATACTTTTTGGTTTTACTATGACCCACTGCAGCTTTTCTTATGTTATTACTATTCAAGCACAAAAAAAATTAGAAAGAAAAAGAAGGGAACTATGGATACTGTCTGATGGAAATGAAATGCAACTCTAGACCTAGAGAATAGTAATCAGTGGGAAATGTTTATCCTCCCAAATTATATCCCTTCCCTAGGTAAATAAAAATATTTCTTTACAAGGGTATGTATGTATTTTATTTGTGACTATCAAATGGAGAAAACTAGGAAAATTACAAGTTTTTCAGAAGATTGATAAACTAACAAGACACTGTCACTAAACAAACAGATGGTTTACCAATTAGTCATGTCTACCCCACCATAAGGTTAGCAACATAAATGGAGACACATGCACATTCCAGTCTGACCTGCATTTCTTTTATAGACTAACCACATGAGCAGTAAAACTGCATTTGCAGTGCTGGATTTTGCAGGACATCAAAGAAGAGTTCTGTCCAGAAGGCATTGAAGTTTCAAAGGCTGTTTCTGCCACCAATTAAAAAGTGCCTGTTCTTACTGAAGGGCCTTGAATCAGTTAGGTCTTATTTAATGTTAGTTGTGGGTAGAAAACACCATATCATCACAGTAGGGCAGGGTACAAAAGAAAAGTATACAGTGCCATAAAATGCAATGTATCAAACCTCATATTCTTCTTCTAAAGACATTATCTTCTTTTTATGTTCTTCTTGCAAAGCTGGATCAACCTGCCAAGATAAAAGTAGAATATCAGGAAATATATTTCAAAGGCATTAAAATCTGGAACAAAACTGTCAACATTCACAAAACTTTCAAATCAAGAATTTCTCCTTTCCAACCTGTTAAAAATGTACATATTCTGTATTTAGAAGAAAAATGAAAGAAGAAGGAACAAGGTGAACTTACGCAATGCTTATGCAATCATTCATCAATGACTGGATGGCATCACAATTCCAACTGCGTTTTGTTCTAGCAAATGTACTTTGCAGGGAATGTTCAACATGAAATACTGAATTTTTCACACTGACCATCGAAACTAATCTAAAATATCATAGAAGGAAGTTCTTATAAACGGGTTAATCAAATATGTGTTAAACATTTCTCTGTTTGTAAAATGTGATGTTATAGCATTTTGTTTGAAGGAAGTGCTGGCTTATTTTCATTGTAAGATGTAACTTTTATTAAATGTTAGTTTGTTTTCATTTAGATCATAAGCTACTGGAGCCTTGCTCAAGTCTGAGATCTCAGAACTGATCGCTCCAGGGATATAGCTAACCTCTGTACACTTCCTGTCTGCTGACCTGATTTCAGAAATCTAAATATATTCAACAATTGTCTCCTCCACCTCCTACTTCTCTTCAGAGGTTGGATATTATTATGAAAGTTCTGAGTTTGGAAGTGTCATCTTTAACTGATGCTGTGTTGCATCCAAACTGGTCTCCAAGGCTCTTCAGTCAGAAAATTCTTCTTCCTGCACGCCTTCTCACATCTGTTTTACCATAAATTATCAGCTATAAGAATCTATATTTTCAAAATTTGTATTACTTGACTGAGGTGTTCTAGCTTTCTGCATGTTATGTGTGTGACAATTTCTTAAACTTCAGTCATTATCTTTAGTTCTTCTTTGCTGGTCATCTTCTTGATTCAAGAAATCCCTACCTTTTTGTCTTGTGATGAATCCATATTTTCAAATGTTTCTGTCTTTTCTACAGTAGCCTGTGTTAGGTTTTATGATGATACACTCTACAATTCAATGAAGAATGCTTAGCATTGTACAATGTGCATTCCCAAAAGCCTATTTTAAGTTTTCCTTTTATATTCACTGTTCTTTAGGAAGGTGTTCTGAACCATCTGTATTCTGATGTCTGTTGAATAGCTATGCTCCCATTGTTCAATCAGCCACACTATTCTAACAAACTGAAATATCAAATTGAAGCAATGAATCAACACTACATGCATATTTTTATACATTCCTGTTTTCAGTTGGTGAGTTCTGAGAGTTCAGTGCTCACTGAGGTTTGCTTTCCTTTGCTTGAAAGTCACTCCAGATATATTGCATCTTGTAATGAGTTTATTTACCATCATGCAGGTTCAGCATATGTGGAAGATGCACAAATTAAACACTTCTATAAATGACCATGTCTACTGTCCAGCAAACAGTATGGCCAGGAAATGGTAATTCAGAAAGTCCCCTTGTACCATCTACAGGGGATTGGAGGACAATTTTGCCCCAGACTCCTTATAGCAAATTTAAAAGTATTACCAGTAAAAAGCAAAAGCATGCTGCTTACATACCGCCCCATAGCACTTAAAGCACTCTTTGGGCGGTTTACAAGTTAATTATGCAGGCTATACATTGCACCCCTGTGGGAGTACGCCATTATGTTTAAGTGAAGCAGCAAGCTAAGAAACTTATGTAATATACCCATATATGGTATGAGATGGGTACTCTTTTTATGGACCTTGGGAAGATAGAAGTCTGAGTCAACTTTGAACTGGCTACCTGGGATAGAACCCCCAGTTGTGAGCACAGTTTTGGCAGCAGTACAGCTGTTTAACCACGAGGATACAAAGATGCTTTTTTAGTTTTTTAAATAACATGATTAAAAAATAAAACAAAGAGGAAGTGGGACATGAAGACTGTGTATACTGTATGCTGATTGGCTGTATAACCCCTGTATTGGAGGACATTTTGTGTTGAATAAAGAAGGGCTACAGGCGTGCAGGCAGAAGCTTTTTCTCCCCTCAAGCCACAATACACCACGGCTGCCTGTTAGGCTCTGGAACCCATTTGGCCCTGATTTTTGTGTCCTGTGTGATTCTTTCGGACCTGTGTGGCGGCCGGACTGCCACACACACACACACACACCCGTGAGATGGGTACTCATTTTATGGACCTTAGGAAGATAGAAGTCTGAGTCAACTTTGAACTGGCTACTCGGGATAGAACCCCGAGTTGTGAGCACAGTTTTGGCAGCAGTACAGCTGTTTAACCACGAGGATACAAAGATGCTTTTTTAGTTTTTTTTTTTTTTAATGATTAAAAAGTAAAACAAAGAGGAAGTGGGACATGAAGACTGCCCTCTGACACCCAGGAATGAATGTGTGCATCCCCTTGACCTCTGGAAATTACTTTCTCCTGATTTGTGGCTAAGGATACAAGTGTAAAGTTCAATCCTCTAGGGAAAAAAGGGAGGGGGTGAGAGAGGTGTGTTGGCTGGATTGATATTTAAGTGATTCAAGAAGGTCCCCACCATACCATCTAACACACTGGGCCATCCTGAGCTAGTTACTATCTTTTAGCATGCCCTATCTCACAAAGGTATTATGCGGATAAAGAGAAACAAAGGGAGTGGGAATGGTAAACCACTTCTTGAACCTCTCATGTACCTCAAAAACTCTATCAGGGTTGGCCTAATTTGGAAACAATCTGATGGGACAAAGCAACAAAAATAACAAAATGCCCTAAAGCTCTGTGGTCTGAGACTGGTATAGTTTAGATGAAGCAACGTCTGTACTGAATGAATGTAACTCTGCTCTCAAGTGGAATTGATATCTCTCCAAAAACTGTTGCAAGGGGATGGGCATTGCTAGTTTCATTTAGAAAGAAACTAGAAAGATGAGAGATTATTTGATGTAAGAAGTCTTCTAGATTTTCTTTTTCTTTTTGCCCCTACTGCAGTATCTATCTACCACTATACTGAATTCAGTCCTGTGTTGCAGAAGTATTTCACAACCACAGTGTATTTATAGATATACTTTGGACTGAAGGACTGAGGTTAATAGTGGAAATAACTCTGCTGTGTTTAAACTCTATATAGTTCTGAATTTCCTACACTGATCAAGGGGGTCAATCTAGGTAATCTCTTGGAATAATTACTTTCCTGTATTGCAACAAGCAGGTGCTATGCTGGATGAGGGATTCTGGGAATTCATTGTTGTTGTTGTTTTTAAAAGCACTTTCCAAACTCTGATCTGAATGGCCCACACAAAACCCTCCAATACTTCCATGCCCCTACAACAAATTACAAAAACAAACAAATGTGAGTTGGCGATCGACTGTGTATTGAGTTCCTAATCAGATCCCTCAAGAGAGAAATATACTTGGTGAACACTGGATTATGGTCATGTAAACTAGTCACATTCTACACAGAGTTTGGCTATTATTACTGAAATATTTGTATTTAGGAATGTCACGGGCTACAAAACTAATTTACATTGCTGGACATTTCCAGAATATTAAGAGCAGCTGTTTACCATAGAAAAAAATATTTATGGATGATGCTGTTTAAATGAAGTTCTCTTTCCTGTTTTAAAACATGTATTAAGTGAATTTAGCTTTCACCTAAAGGAAAAAATGCTATTTTCTTTCTGTATCCCAATGCAAAACATGAAAAGAAGCATACAGTGGTACCTCGACTTACGAACGTCTCCACTTATGAACATTTAGTTACAAATGGCTCCATTCGCAAAATGTTGCTTCGACTTGCCAACGGAGCCTCGACTTATGAAAAAACCTTTCCTGCCCTTTTTTTGACCTAAGTTCATCTTAGGTCAAAAGAAGAAGAAAAAAACACAAACATTTCTCCCCTGGTGGTAGAGTATGGATTAACCGGCTTTGCATTAGTTCCTATGGGAACTAATGCCTCTGCTTATGAACAGCGCCTAAACATAAGAATGAAAAACAGCAGGTATAGATTAAATGGTTTTCAATGCATCCCTATGGAAAAGTTTGCCTCGACTTACAAACTTTTCGATGTACGAACGCTGTTCCAATACGAATTAAGTTCGTAAGTCGAGGTACCACTGTACACAAGAACCCCAAAGTCTATCAGTGGTTGTTATTACTTGGTAAGAAGGCTTGAGCCTTCTTGCAATGTATTATGTGTTGCATTGAAATGGCATGAGAAAATGAAGTCAGGAGAATGTAAAGTGGACTGATAAAGAATTAGTTCTCAAAAATGTATACATATTTATTGGAATATGATTTAGAGGATGAGAGGGTGAAGGACAGGAAGGTAAAATGGGCAAATTTTTTTTGGATATAATATCGGTATTGATGACTGGACCAAGATGTGGAAAGAAAGTTATAAGATGATTAAACCAGTAAACCTTAGGGAAAATATTCTCAAAATATTTTATAGATGGCATTATACACCTGTAAGATTGGCAAAAATATCAGAGGGTAACAGCAATATGTGTTGGAAGTGTAAAAAAATGCAGGAACTTATCATATGTGGTGGACATGCGAAAAAGTAAAAAAAATATTGGACACAGGTGTGGGAAACAGTGAAATTACTCAACAAAAATTAGATATAAAACCTGAAATGGCATTATTGAATATCATGCCGGAAATCAATGGTAAGAAAATGAAATATTGTCTAATGTACATAGTCACAGCAGCCAGATTACACTGGGCCCAAAAATGGAAAAGCGAAGAAACCCCACCGATAGAAGAGCTGTTAAAGAAGCTATGGGACATAGTAGAACTGGACACACTCTCAGAAGCATTACGGGAACAACCAAGAGACTATGTGAAACAAAGCTGGAAACTAATATATTTTTGGGCCCAGAGGAGGACAGCAGTTTAGGGCAAATTTGATTATATATGTATATGTATTCAGTTCACACTGG